CTAGGACTGTTCGGTATACCGAAAATATCGGTATTAAATCAATATCGGTATATCGATACCAGATATTCAACCATACCGATATACTGAAATTTCCAATATACCGGAATTTTTCGGTATATCGTGTTAGATTTACCAACTATATGGCGAAACCATAACCTTTATTTTACTGCTGAAGAATTATTAATTAAAGAATTTTCCTTTATAATTATCAAAGGAAAACCGGTATACCGATAATATCGGTATAATTTTTTCGGTATACCGATACCGGAAATTTCTCGTACAGAACATTCCTAATATTACCCATCATTTGTTTAATCTAATTAACCAGAAATAGATTGAATACTTAAAAGTGTAAATTTTGGAATGTGGTGGACAATTGATACAGGATTTTTTATAAAACCATGTTAAAGTACACATGTTCAGGAGCATTGTAGGGTAGTTTCATCAATTGTTCTTCCAGGCTTCAAAAATTTCACCATTATTATAAATGATAGATGCTGATAATTCATCATTGTTATGTTCATACAATGTATTAGTTATTATTTACACCTATCATAACACTGATATCAGAATATCAGGAACTTTTAAGAATAAAAAGGAAATTTGGTCTGACGTTATGGAAGTAGCTATGTTTACCATATGTTTACCTAATTGTGTTTTAAAAAAATTGAATAAAATTTGAACAATTTCTAAGCAGTTTTTAAATTAATATTCAGGGGTATTGACACCACTTTAAGTCAGTGTGATTTTGGTGAAACTATTGGAGATGAGTGCCATAAGCTTTCTTATACAAGAAAACAAGGTATGGAGAATCTTAGTGATTATTCTGAAGATGTACAAGAAACATTCTCATGAGGGCAAGAATTGCTCATCAACCAGATAAAACAAATATGACAATTTTATGTATCATAGCAAAATGTATGGCAACGTGTTTGAAAGAAAATTCAACAAATGTTGTTATATTTTCAACTCTCATAAAGCAAAGACAAAAGGTAGCCATATTCAATATCACCCATCATTGTAGAAATTTTGTAGAAATTG